CAGCAATAAAAATCATACACCAGTGCCTACAGTGAACAAAAATGTTCTATCTTTTGTAGAGCAAATAAATGGTCAGGGGTCTTTTTTCCAAAACTTTTGCAGGGATTCCTGTTATCCCGGTTATATCTGGGTTTTTAGTGCTGACACCCACAGCCATAAACCAAACATCCTTTCCTGTGTTGTTTAGTGTTTGCTAATGTAGTAGTATTCCTTGTAAAATCAAAACAGCTGCAACATCTATCTTTTCTTTTTTTTGAGGATTTCAAGATGAAGTACAGATAATTCAGTAACATACACATGTTTTTCATAATAGGTACTTTTTCTTTTTTGAAAAAACTTTTGATGATGAGTGGTGTATCTAAAAGACAAAATAACCTTCTTCTTGAATTTTCTTTCCATTTATGTCCTTGGTTTACTTACTACCTACTGTTTCTTAATAGATGTTAACTAAATTTTGTTATCATGACACTAAAGTTTATAATCTATGGAAATTTGAGATTATTTTATGTGTTTGGCAGGAAGGTACACACAACACTTACTAATATTTTGTTTAATGGCACTTAAAGTATCAGCCACCTGAGAACCCTCTTATTTCACAACCTGGTTTTTTAAGCTGTCATGTTAAGGAATTATGAATATTTCTTAAAATTCTTAGTTGGCAAAGACTAGAGATTACTAATGAACCTTTCAGAAACAAGTTTCATTGTTGGGGTAAGGATGAGCTAACAGTGGTGCAGTTGATATTTACTTATCTTTTACAACAACTTGTCTAATTAGAACTGGCTCCAAAGTGCAAACACTCTTACCTGACACAAAATAGGTTTATTTTTTACATTTGGTGTAAAAATTAAGAGATGCTACAAAGTGCAGAAACTGGGGCACAGAGAATGTAAGTACCTTGTGTAAGATCACACAGCTAGTAAGTGGCAGAGCTAGGATTCTAAATCCAGCATTCTGGTTCCATAGTCTGTGCTCTTAACTACTGCACTGTACTGTTTCCTCCAACAAAATTATGATGCATTAAATGGAGCAGAAATTAAAATTGGTTCACCTGCCAATACTATTATTTCAGATATTAAATCTGTGAGCCCAAATCTCTGAGGAAAGCAGTCAGTATTAATCACATCTCTTGGCTTTTTAGGAGCCTTTTTACATGAAAAGCTCAGAAGACCTGAGTACAGAGAATGTCCTAGAGACACATTTGATTTTCATTATATATGTTATCCCCATTGATGTCAGGTTTTTTGGGTCTTTTCTGCACTAAAATGAAGGAGAGAAGTATAACTCCACCTAAGGTCTTCAGAGCCACTTCCAAAACAACCATTGAGTCCTTATGATGGCCAGTCCTCATGGGTTCCTGCCCAATAACAGACAAAACCACAAAGAAACTAATGGTTTCTAGTTTCATTTCCTAAAGCAACTAAGTGGGCACGGTGGTGTCTGAGGAAAAACAAAAGAAAATAGGAAAATGTTGGATGATAACATAACGGTCTTTCTAATATAACCTATACCTTTTTATGGCCTATATCATGTATGAACTGTTCGACCTAGTCTCCAGAAGACTTTGTATCACCAAACCCCCAGTCCACTTATGTCCTCCTCAATTTTGTATTAATACATACACCATACTCATTCTCTCTTGTCTCTTTTTGATCATAACTTGCCATGTTCCCTGAATGGTTCTCCCTCCTCTCTCCTATCTGCCTCTCAATATTACAACTCTCCTCTGTCCTATCTGCCTCTCAATATTACAAATACATTCCTCAAGTCCTACCTCTACCATGTAGTATACCCCAGGTCCTCCAGCCCACATTAGCGTTTGTATATAAAGTTCTACTGAATTTATCAAGTTAGTATCATCCAGTTTGGCCCTTAACTATTTTAGAGTTGTTACATTATCGCATATATGTTAGTTTTTTTTTTTTAATCTCTTGCCAGCTAAATCTGAAAACAATTGTAGAACTGTTTTATACTTTATTGTTACTCCATAGCACAATGTGGATACTTAATAAAAACTCACCATTGCCATGTTGGTGGAAGTCCCCAACATGTATGTGACATTCAATAAATGTTTCTTAAATCTGGAAGAAAAAATTAAGAGGTAAGGAAAAAATACAGAAGAAATTTTAAAACATTTTACAGGCTGTTTTAAAACCATTTATTTATTCAACAAATATTCAGCAAGTACCTATTATGTGTCAGGCCCTAGGAATACAGTGACTGTGACTTGGTCTCTACCTCAAAACACATATTCTAATCTGTTAGGGAAGATTTATAACTAATTACAATGTAGTGTGTTCTATAAGGAAGACATAGATGGTGAAACTATCAAGAATAACTTCACAGGGAAAATGTTTTAATCAAATTTTGAAACATAAATAGGTGATTACCCAACAAACAAGAGAAGAAAGAATATTCATCCAAACAAGGACATAGAACACACTGATATAGGGAAGTGTGAATAGTTCTATGAAAATGTCAGAGAGCTTTGTGTTAGTGATTTGTCATGTATCATTTATTTAAAGCTAAATAAATGAAAGCTCTGATACTATCACAGAGGTTAAATAATGTCAATCTCACTTTTCTTGGCATAGAATGAGTTAAAACAGACATTCTCTAAAGACTCATCGAGGAATAAGTCAGTGAGTCTACTTATTACAGAATCGAATGATGCTATAATGTAATGATTTACGAAACCAAATGTGTATATATTCCATTACTATTAAATGAAATTGGAGATTTTGCCATAGCAGTAATGGCTAACATTGGATATATATGTGCCAGACACTATGCTAAACAATTTACGTGCTTCTCATTTAATCCTAAAAACAACACTTATGAGATAAATACCCCATTT